AGGACACCTTGCTTTACGATGGCCATCCTCCCTGCCCGGCAGACCTCGGGCTGGCGGTTCCTTTTCTTTTCTTTTTTTTTTTTCTCCTCTGGCAAACACGCACACAAACCCCTAACTCCCCTCACCTCACAACCAAAGGTTTTGGGGCTTTTCTTTTCTCCCCCTTACTGTCCCCCTGCTAGGTTTTATTTTATTTATTCCAAGTAAACTCCCAGAACAGCTGATGATGTCAGACAAATCAGGGACATTTACTCTTTCCTGCACCTCACACACGGATGCCGTGGGGAGAAGCACGGGCGGCGGGAGCGCGGAGAGCCCGGCGCTGGACTGAGCCCGCGCCCCGGCATGATGTTTGGCTTCAGGGGTCCCAGACGGAGCACAGGCGCCGCCCCCGGGCACAGCGGCCCTCTGGCCAGACGGAACACGACTTATTTATTACGGGGCTCACCGGACACTGGAGCGGAGCTGAGCTCGGGACACCATTGGGGACAGGGCACCCCTGCACTGACTTCCGGAGATGCTCTCCCTTTGTCACCGAGGACACCCCATTGGATGAGTGAATCAAGAATCAACCGCCCCTCTTCCTCTCGCCTCTCATCTCTCGAGGGAAGGACGTTTTCGTTTTCACCTTTGAAAGGCGCTGTGGGTCTGTCTTTAAAGTGTTTACAAAAAAAAAAAATTATAAACAAAGTCTAGTGTCGACTGGTGTTTTTCCTCGTGATGTTTACAGATTGCTGTCTGCTGCCCAACGATAAACCCACTCAGTGATCGTGATGGAAATGAAGCCAGCCGGCGGCTCGCCGCCCGCGGTCTATGGCGTGCAGCGCGCTCGGCTCAGCCCCTTCGCGCCGCCGCCACCTTAGCTGGCTCTTTTGGTTTCGTATTCCTGCCATTTTTTCCTGTCTCAGTTTCACACACCACCCCCACCCCGCCTTGGGACCCTCGTGTCTCCACTTCATTGCCAAAAAGCCACCCACTGAGGGTCTCCTTCCGTCTCCAGCTCCTCCCCTTTCTCCCGGTTCGGGTCAGTTCAGAGGATTTAACCATCACAAGTGTCCTGAGAAAATGCCTCAAGATTTTCCTCAGACCCTTCGTGGAGTTTTCTTCCCCCAGAAAACATTCAAACAAACAAAAAAGGACTTATTTAAGAAAAAGATGTACAGCCTAGCCTACCCGTTTAAGGCACCCTGCGGACATTTAGCCACATGGGCGCTCACACAGCGGCATCAGCAAGATAGGTTTCTGTATTTATATATTAAAAGGAGAAAAAAAAAAACCTCATAAAATGTAAAAAAAAAATGTTCAAAGCTTGGGGGAAAAGTTTTCTTCATTAGTCAAGGTGTTTTGATATGGTATTAAAATCATGTCTAATAAAAAGTGCACTGTGTGATTTTATTTCACCAAATCTTGGTATAATGGAGAAATGGGGTGCAGCAGCCCCGCCCACCTCCTCAGCATTCCTTGGGGCTGCAGGTGTGTGAAGTGGTTGTCAGGCAGGCCAGACCTCTGTCCTACATGTTTACTAACCCTCTTAACCACTCTCTTGGCCTGGTTAAGATGGGATCCTTCTGGAAAGACCTCTGGAAGCTGCCAGGATGCATTCTGGCCTCCAGGCGATGCCCACCTCGCCCCAGGTCCCTTTGCCCACATCTTGCCCAGCCTGTTGCTCAAGTGTCTCTTTGCTGACTCACGGGCAGGCCTCATCCAGGCCCAGGAAGAGGCCCTGGTTTGGGACCGAGCCAGTTCCAAGCCCTTGAACCAGAACCAGCCACTCAGCTTAGAGAAGCTGGCACACAGGGCTGGGCAGCAGTGGCAGGCAGGGAGCGGGAGCACAGCCAGGCCTGTCCCTGTGCCAGCTGGTGGCCTGAGCCCTCAGGGCTAGGTGGGGGTGCCCTGGAGAAGCCCTTCTGCCCCTCACTGTTCACACCTGCCCTTCCACCAGCCTGAGCTGGCACTGGTACCAGGCTGAAGGTCTCCCCATCCTGCCCGCTCTGTGCAAGGACACTGCAGACCCAGGGGAATGTGAACTCAGCCATGCTCACCACACCACACTCTAGACATGCTAAGGATTGGGGCCTTAGACTGGCCTGTGGTGGGAACCAGGGTCCAGCCAACATGCTAACCAAGGGCGACCATGGCAGATGAGAACATCTGCATCCAGGTCTCCCTACTCCTGATGACCTGGGTGAGCAACATCTGTACCTGGCATTCCAGAGGGTAAAGTGTGGACACATCCTCACAGCTTAGAGGCCACTATGAGGGTCATCCTCAGGCGCCTGGCACGTGTACAGTAGGCTCAGAGTGGCTCCATCACCACAAAGGACACCGTTCTATTCACAGCGCCTCCTGTTTCTGCCTGGCAACTGTGTCTCCCCATTCTATATTTACTTCCGGCAGCAAAGGCAGCGGGGCAGCCCGGCTCTGCAGATCTCCTTGGCTGACCCCTAGGCTGCAGACCATAGTGTGTCCCCAGCGGTGCCCTCGGCCTGGCTGTCTACAGAGATAAGACAGTGAGTGAGCCATGCTCAGAGGGACATACGCCCACACTAGGTGCAATTCAGGGTCCTGGCTCCCCTCATCCACACGCCCACCTGGCACCCTGCCGCCCTCTGCTGGCTTCTTTGGCCTCAGCCTCTGATCCCGTTCTGCCTGCTTTGGGCTTGGGGGAGGTCTGGGGGTATCTGAGCTATCTAGTTGGAAAGCAAACTCTTTGCTAGCATGGAAACGAGGTGGGTCTGGCACACTCTACAGACGGCCCTGCATACTTGGGGGTGAGAAGGGTCCTAGGCACCTCACAATGGCCATTATTCAGTAACAAAAGTACAGCTGACAAAACCCACAGGAGGGAAGTGTGGCTGTCCACTTCCTAAAGCTTCCTAATCTTGGAAACCCTGGGGCAGTCAGCTCTGTCTAGTAGCTGCTGTGCCTCGGATTAGATTTGACGGCACAACAGGTCTGTAGGAGAGTGGGCTTGTGCTTTGAATGCTACTGACCAGTAAACTGGTTGTGAAACATGGAACTTAATGCCAAATAGTTCCCGAAAGACACACAGACACACACAGAGTAAACAAGTCAAAAATGTTCATTTTGGCATTGTCTTCAGGCTGGTGTTTCTGTGATTCACATCCTTTCCATTTTCCTGCTTGAAATACTTAGTAAGTGGGGGGTGTGGCCATTTGTGGACCACCTACTGGATGTAGGCACTGGGAGTGGAGGCAGGGAAGAGCCATGCCCCTAAAGTTGACTGTCCCAGAGTTAGGCTTTCAAAATGTTGGGTGGTTTGGAAGGAGAGGACTGGAAAGAGGGTGGCAGAGTGCATGCTAATGGGGGTGGTTTAGGGAGAGGGCTGATAGGACTCCCCTTCATTTAGCCCTTGGCACCAGCCCTCCACCTGTCTAGTGCATATGGGGACAGAGAAGTCTCAAGCCCTCAACGTTCAGGCCGCAGTTGCCGCATCTCTATCTGGAGCTCCCAGGAGCTGGCCTGGGTCAACCTCAGTGACTGCCAGTGTCACAGAGTCCTGAGGGCTGGGTTTAGTCTAAGGAGGCACAGACCCAGTGGGGGTGGTTTCTGCCCAGGGTCTGGGAAGCCAGGCTGATGGGGGTGGGGAGAAGGCAGATATGTGGAGAGTAGCCCAGAGAAAGGACCAAAGAATGGACTGTAAGGTCAAGTGGAAAGAGAGCAAAAGCCCACGGGGGCAGGGAGAAGGGAGGGCACTACAGGGGCCATCACAGTTGAAGTCAATTTCCAGGCACCAGGCCTTTCCCAGACCCTGGGAAGTGAGCACTGGCCCGGGTCAGGGTGAGGGCTGAGTCCCAGGCACTGGAGAGAGGAAGTCTGAACTTTGGTGGTGATGGGCGCCCTCTCGTGGACACTGAGGGGACAATGTCCAAGATCCAGAAATTGCTGAGGCAAGAAGTGAAGAATCCCTGCAGAGGTGCAATACAGGGATCCTCACTTCCACATCTAGCGATGGGTAGCAGCTGCTTGGATAGCTTGTTGAGAATTTTCTATGGCCAGGTTTAGGCTTGGGGGAGAGAGGGGCCTGTGTCCATGAGTGATGTGCACCACTGCCAAATCCTCAAGCAAGTCATTGCAGGCTAAGTAATCAGAGCAGGAACCCAGGTCCCTAAAATGACCTTCCCTCTGTAGCTGGGGTACCCTCTCCCCGACAGCCTGCACAACGCAGGGATGGGCCCAGAACAAGGGCACCACTGGTAAAAAGACCCGTAACCCGGTGGGGCAGGGAGGGGACAGAGGGCAGTGCACTGGTATTGCTTGTTGGTGTCGTCCAACAGTTGCAGTGGAGTTCAGATTTCTTAGATTTGGGTTCAGTTTAAGGTCAGATCCCTGTGTGAGAGAGAGAGAGAGAGAGAGGCGAGCAGTGGGGAGGGCCTAGATGTGGGCCCACCCCTGCTTCCCTGGCCAGGGTGGGATGTTGAAGAGCAGAGAGAAGGAAGACCTGGGTCATTTCCTAGACACAGGCTCCATCACGACAGTCAGCAGGTGGGGAGGGGCCAGCGCTGAGTGGTGATGGCTGGCTGCTGTCTACCCTCCAGGGTCCTGGCAAATCAGAAGGGTGTTCTGGGAACGCAGGAAGGTTCTGGAACTGAGGATGCTCTGCTATCCACAGTCAAGTGCTCAAAGCACCTTGCCTGGGTTCATGAGACCTCGGGGGTCCAGCGTGGCCTTGAGCTGCCGCATGGTCTCCACGCCCACGGTGCCCACTTCCTCCTGCAGCAACTGCCGCTTGCCCATCCCAATTCCGTGTTCCCCAGTGCACGTCCCGTGAAGGGCCAGCGCCCGCCTGCAAGTCAATGGAGGACGACCCTCAGTGCGGCCCTCTCTTACACCCTGCGGCGACCATCAGTTCTGCACATACCTGCCTAACTTTTGTGCAAACGCCTTCACCCTGTGCAGTTCCTGGGGGTCCTCAGGGTCCACCAGCAGTATGCAGTGGAAATTGCCATCACCCACGTGTCCAACAATGGCTCCTGGGGACCCAATGGAGCTGTTACCTCTAGGCCACTCCCCCGAGCCCTGCCCCCACTCACCCAGCACGCCAGCAGCAAGCAGGCAGGACCTGTGAGCCCCGAGGCCTTCAGGTCCTCCTTAGTCTGCACCAGGATCTCTGGAAGTCTGGAGATCGGCACGCACACATCAGTGGAATAGCCCTGGATAGAGGGACAGGACTCTTGAGGGTCCTCCCTCCTCCCTGCCTGCCCGGAAGGAAGGGGTCAACGCCAAGCGCAGGTCTGACGCCTTCTCTTAGTTAGGCCCCTTGGTTCCTCGCTGTTGAGCCCTGGCACAGGCCGTTGCCTGCAGGGGAAGGTTTGGGTAACACCTGCCAGTACTTGAGGTTTCTGTTTCACCTCGTCCTTCAGGAAGCCTTCCACGTTTGCAACTCCTAAACACACTGCTTTATGGTTGCCTATGCCTTCACCTCCCCTCCCCAAGATAGCTCCTCTGTCCTCATCCAAGTTCCTGGGAACAGAGAGACTGGGTCAGCTCAGCCACCCCCTACTCTGTGTCTGCTGCTCTGCACTGGACGTTGGTGGGAGGGAAAGGTCTCCGGGCTGAATGACAGAACCCACCGCTCAGAGCCCAGCTCACCTTGGCACCCGGCCGCAGAGCGAGGGCCGCATACCAAGCGTTGTGCCGAGCCGTCCAGAGCCGGCTGCGATCCTCTGCCTCCTTGGCCCAGGAGAAGTGGGCGCCCCCATTCTGCTGGGTGATCTCCTCTGCGAGATGGGAGAGGGCTGACAGCGGCCCCACGGTGTACTGTCCATGGGGACTCGTCCACGCCCACTGCAGCCCACACACCTGCCCGCTGCAGCTGCTCGGCCACGGTCTGCTCGGAGCCGTGGAACTCCAGGAAGAGTGTGGGCGCCACGGAGCAGCTGAGCTTGCTGTACCTGTTGCAGGCGTCCATCATGACGTCATCCAGGAACTCTGGGGGCAGGTAGAAGGCAGGGAGCTGAGGCCTGGCCTCCCACCAGGCCTCTGGGGGAGCCCAAACTGGCCGGGGAAGCCCCCGCCTCACCGATGCGGGCCACAGGCACTGCAGCCTGAAGGATGTGCACGGTGCTGTCCACCGCAGCCTGGATGCTGGGGAACGTACAGGTGGCGGCCACAGTGACCTCAGGGACAGGGTGCAGGCGCAGGGTGGCGGCTGTGATGAGGCCTAATGTCCCCTCGGAGCCCACAAAGAGTCCCGTGAGGTTGTAGCCGGCGGCACTCTTCCTGGACCCCAGGGACACATGAGGCAGTGAGCGCACAGGTACGTGGCGACAGATGTCTGACCAGAGAGCTGGGGTGGGGCAGCCTCTGTGGGGGTCAGAGTCTGAGGGCCAGGTCTGAAGTCACAGGGCCCGGGAGCTGAACCCCAGGGGTGCAGAGAACAGGGCCAGCCTCCCTTGTAAGCCCAAGACTGTCACCAAGGCAGCCTAGGCACTGGCACAGCCCACGTCCCTTCTCATGGTGGACTTGCCCCCGCACTTTCAACCTTCGCCCTTTGATAGCTCTTGGGAGCCCCGGGGGCCAGTCTTCTGCCCCATCTCTGCCCAGAGGGCGCCCCATCAGTTGCCCAAGTGCAAGCGCCAAGTGTGGTTGCTTGCCTTAAGTGGCAAGTGCTCACCGGAAAGTGGTGGTGCCCACCGGAAAGTGGTGAGGCTCGCCGGAAGTGGTGGTGCTCAAAAAAAGTAGTGGGTGCTCACCGGAAGTGCCATATGTGACCGGAAGTGTCATATGTGACAGGAAGTGGCGAGTGCTCACCGGAAGTGTCGGCCGGGTCCTGCAGTGTGCAGCAGCTGCCCATTAGGCAGCACCACCTGCAGGTTCAGGACGTTGTCCCGCATGGTGCCATAGCGCACGGCGTTGGTCCCCGAGGCCGCAGTGGCCGCCATGCCACAGAGAGAGGCATCTGCGCCTGGGTCTGGAGGGCAAAGGGTGAGCAGAGGGCAGCCTGGGTGGGCAGGAGCCCCTTCCTCCAGCTGGAGGGACGACCACGACCAGGGAGCCCCCACCCCCCCCCACCCCCCCCGAGACCCAGGACAAGCCAGGAGTCCCAGGCCTACCCACAGGAAACCAGAGGCCACTGTCCCGCAGGTAGGTGTTGAGAGCTTTGCGGGTGACACCTGGCTCCACCACCACCGAGAAGTCTTCGGGATTCAGCTCCACGATGCGGTCCATGTGGGTCAGGTTAATGCAGACGCCGCCCTGTGGGAGGGGAAGGTCGTTGAGGGCAGGGCCTGGCGGGGGGGGGGGGGCGCAGTGAGGTGGGAGGCCACGCCCACCTTACCTGCACAGCGCAGACCCCGCCCTCAAGGCCCGACCCGGTGCCGAAGGGGATGATGGGCACTCCTTGGCTGTAGCACAGGACAGTCAGCCGGCTGACCTGGTCCACGTTCTGGGGCCAGACCACGGCGTCCGGGGGCTGACACCTAAAGCAGAGGGCAGCTGCTCAGGGGGCGGGTGCTCCTCAAGGAGCCTGGAGGTGTTGCAGGGCCTGAGGCTACAGTGGGGGAGGGCAGTGTACCCCCCCACAGGTGGGTAGCGGAGCAGACCACCCAGGACTGTCAGCCTTCCCTCCCACCCTCTGAGTCCTCACCTGTGTACGGATTCGTCCTGCCCATGCTGTTCTCGCACCGCCGCGGCTGTGGACACGTAGGGCGGACCCACCACTGCCTTCAGGGCCGCCACAAAGTCCTCACTGAGCGCACTCTAGGAGGGAGACATGTGGCTGGTCACCCTACGGGTGGCGCTGGACCACAGCCTTACGCTGTCCTGCAGCGAGGTGGGGAGAGTGGGTGCTGAGGGGACATCTCTGTTCCCCAGCAGCGCACGGCCGGGCTGGGTGGACTTTGGACAGGAACACACCCTTCCTTATGGGCCACCGTTCGTACCACCTCCAAAATAGAAAACACCAAAAGGATGCCAGCAGGCAGTCTAGCCAGGGCCCCGGCCAGCATGGCTGCAGGTGAGTGAGTGAATGAATGAAAGGCTGAGCGTGGCATGGGGAGGCGCCTGGCCGGGACTCTTGGAGCCCTTCAAGCGATATTTGCTCATTTTGCAGATGGACCCAGGGCATTCTGTCAAAACACTCTTGGATCTACTGGGGAGCCTGGGTGGCGCTGGGCCTTTCTTGTGACATCCCTGCTGGCCCATCCAGTAGCTGGGAGGGGCTCGGACCAGCCTATCTACGTCCACGTAGTCCACTGGACGAGCCTACTGGCCTTGTGCCCAAGGTTAGTGGCGCAGGTGCGTCCCAGGGCTTGGCGGAATCGGGAGCCGATCTTCCGCCCTCCAACCTACCTGCGTCCCCCTGGTGCAGTAGCCCCTCCAGAGACACAGCCGCTGGGTCGCGGCCCGAAGCAGAAGGGCCATAGCGGTGTAGCGGCCTCGGACTGTGGGCACCGGGGCATCGATCCCGCGGTCTGCGCCTCTGCCCCGCCCGAGGCCACGTGGGAGGCGGAGCTTGCTTAATTAAGGTGGCTCCTCTTAAGGTGATCCTCCTCAAACCTTGCTGAGTCAGACCCACCATGGCCAGTAGTCTAGAAAGACTTTCCTGGCTTCCCTAACTTAAAACTCTCCAGTGACTTCCCAGGACACTGAGAATAAGCACGGACTCCCTGTCATCTCCTTGAAGGTTCTGAATTCTTTGAATTGTACGCTGATTTGGTATCTGGAAATCTTGCTGAATTCTCAGATTTAATTCAACCGTTTTGATGGTCCTAGTGATGCCTTTGAACTGTGGTGCTGGAGAAGAGTATTGAATATACCATGCACTGCTAAGAGAACAACCAGGTTCATCCAGGAGAGGGTGAAGCCAGGCTGCTCCTTCGAGACAAGGATTCCGAAGCTTTGTCTGATATGCATGTTGCAAGGAGGGACCAATCCTTGAAGAGGGACATTATATTTGGGAGGGTGAAGGGACAGCGCAGAAGGGGAAGACCCTCGATAAGATGGATTGACTCAGTGACTGGAGTAATAGGGGTGTGTCAGAGATATTACTGTTAGCAGGTTTTAGAGCTGTTGTACATAGGGTCCCTAGGAGTCAGAAGCGACTCGACACAACAATAAGTCATTAAGTGTTTTCTTGTTTCCCCTCCACCCTGAGATGACGGACTGTATTATATACATATAGTCTTATTTCTTTGTATCCAAATCTATGCTTGGGGACAGTGGTGGCACAGTGGATTAGTATTGTCAGGCTCTATCCATTCTACTCGGCTCTGTAGGGTCATTGGTTTAGAGTAGCTCCTTGGCAGCAGGGAGTATTAACTTTATGCATCATTTCTTTTCTCCTTCACAGCAGTGGTTGGTGTATTGGTGCACAGATGCCCCAAAATGGCTATACTTAAGCTAGCTGGGTTCTTAGACTTGTTTTTCAGTTTCTTCTTAGAATGAGTGCAGGCTAACCATTCCCCCTATTATTTTTAGCCATGCCTGCAGAACTAGATGCACAACAAGTAGGTTTCCCTTAAACTAAGCTCATGTATTGCTGACATTTTCCCATCAGTCTACGTAATTCATTGCTAAGGAGTTGCACTGCAAACCCACAGGCACACAGTTCAAAGCTACCAGTTGCTCCATAGAAGAAAAAATGGACAATCTCCTCCCCTCTGACTTAACTGCCTCTGAAAACCCTCTGTGGGTTGATTCCAGTTAGGTACTTAAAAGTAACCATAAGTATACCATACTTAACTTTGCTACATATTTGGTGTTGTTTATGTAAGGGTGTAAAACAATTAGCTGCTCCTTTCCTTCCTTCCTCCCTCACCCTCTATCTTCAGGGGTGGTATTCTGGCTATGATAGAATAGAAATTCTAGCTGCATTTCCCTGTTCAGGAAGTTTCCTGTCCCAATAAACAAATGTCTTTTCGTTTGTCTCTGTGTCTGATTTACTGTTCATCTGCGAACGTGAATCTTGAGGGGCTTTCGCCCTGGGGAACAAGCTCCAGTACTTGTACATCTTGGTTATGAAAGAGCAGGCTGACCCCAGTTGAATTTGGAGGCGGGCATCTTTGCAACCAAAGGCCATTGTCAACTGGAATGATTTATGGTTATTTGGTGGTTTAAAGCCTAAAGCTTAGGTGCAAGGTTTAATGAAAGCTGTAGGCTGCAGTGACTGCATTTTGAGTCTTTGCTTAATAAGTTCCACCACCACATGAGATCAATACTAGAAACCACCTCTGAGCTTTCAGACCACCAAAATAGCCAGTACATTGCCAAATTCACTAAGGTCATCTGCTGTCAAGGACCTCTGCAAAGTGCTAGAGAGCAAAAATGTCAGCTCATAGACTAAGGATATTTTCAGTTGTTTACTAGGCATCTGAAAGTTGGACAGTGAGTAAGGACGTCGGAAGAATGCCTTTCAGTTGTGACGGCCAAAAGAACAAAGTCAGCTTTGGAGGAAGGTTGCTCTTAATTGTATGGAAATGGTTTATATTTTAATAGAAATGGTTCTTACGGTAATACATTTAATATTCTAAGGCAGCAACAACTCAGGAACTAAGTTCTATGAACAACTACAGAAAAAACTATTCTAGAATTTGCTTTCTTTTTTTTTTTATTTTATTGTGTGTGAGTGTACCGTCAAATCAGATCTGACTGGTACAGGAGGAGATTGTCCCTCCTTCCCCGGCAGAGCATCTGGTGGATTCGAACCGTGAGCCTCTGGGATTGTAGTTGGAATTTGCTTTCTTATAACCATGTATAAGGACCATTTTATTAACACCTTGTGTTGTTGTTGCTGTTGTTATGTGCCGTCGAGTCGCCTGCGACTCATAGCGACCCTATGTACAACAACCCTAAACTCTGCTCTGTCCTGTGCCAATCGCACCGTCTCTGACACTCTCATCCCAATTATCCCAGTCACTGAATCAATCCACCTCAAACCTTGTGTCGGACTAAAGAAAAAAAAATTGAGTATCGCTGCGAGAATTTTGTATTAATATCTTTCCTGAAGTCCAGACCTTTGCTGCGAGAATTTTGTATTAATACCTTTCCTGAAGTCCAGACCTTTTCCTGTTTCTATTAGTATCTTTTATCAGTATTTTGCTGACTAGTTGTGACTGAAACTTTGTATCATAGAACAAGAGTAATTGCTGTTTTTTAAACAAATAATTCAACAGTTTTAGCAACTCATTTGTTGTTTGGGGTTGATTTTT